TGTTGATTTCCTCAGATACACTTGTGCCAAACACAACTCCCATTTTGATTCGCAGAAGCACCCAAATCTGTTCTCTGCAGAAGTGGAAGTTCTGCTACCAGTCTTAGTCAGTACAGAAGAAACTTCAAAATGGGAAATCTGATTTGTTACTATTTCACATAAAAACTGAATCTACTAGGGGGTAGGGGGATCAAAAAAGGGATGTATTTCTACAGCTACAGTTTTACATGGCAATATAGAAGCCTAAAATGTAATTGGATTTAATGGACTACGATACTGTGTTTAAATGGCAACCATGCATGTAACTATAGCTACTACATAAAAAAACATTGTAAAAATTATCATGTATTATGTATTTTGGGTTCTTTTTTGATCTTTAAGAGAGGTACCTTAAATTACTCAGCTTCGATAAAGTTTTCATGTGCATTCCCAGCTTCCTCTCTCTCTCTCTCATAAATCCATTCCACCTAAACAATCAGTGAGAAGGCTGTCATGGGAGATCTTGAACTACTGTACTATATGTCATAGTCTGATCCCAGCTTAATGTGATGCACTAAAGACAACTTAAAAATGGCAAATGAAAAATAACTTTATACTTGCTACCAGTGCTACCACCTGATGCTGTAACTCACAGAATTTAACCCTGCAATTTATGCACAACATACATATGCATCTAAATACATACAGAGTTTACATTAAAAAAAACATATTTGTCTTCACTGCAATATGTATAGCTTTTTCACTGAAGAAAGGCTTAAAGTTGAACAAAAAATAATAAGCACATTAAAAAAGGTGAATATATTTACCTGTTAAAATGGATAGTGGGACACCAGAGAGAAAAATTAAAATAATAGAAATTGATGCAAAATACAAAGTTTTCCAGTCTATAATCCAACTTTCATAGACTAACCAATTAGATTACTTTTTTTTTTTATAAGCTGCTCCAAATTTTCCAATTAGACATCAGGTCATGTATATGCTACTGTGTTCTACAATTATTATTTTTGTGACTTTAAAGGAGCTTGTTTCAGCAATGGGAACTGCCATCATTTTTATACAAGTAAAAATTACAGCATAATTAATTTATCCTGTATCGACTGCATATGTGAGTTTTAAAATTCTCCCTAATTAGGCTGAAACTTTCCATAACAACGATTCAATGGCAGAATAGCTACAATCTTTTGAATATTTTTCATGAAAGAAAATTATAATCGGAACATAGACCTAGTAATGTTATATTAGTGGACTTTTTTTTAACACCTAAAAGAAGAATATTAGAGTAAAATGCTCTGAACACTGAAACTATGGCATATACAATGTATACATATATATTTTTAAAGTAAAAGTTAATTATTATTAAATTTGGCCCAATAATCTATTCTCTACAAATACAGAACTTCCTTGTTCTCCTTTCTGAGGCAGGTAAGATTAAAGATTTAAAGATTTATTTTAGAGAAAGTTGACAGGTGGGAAGATACATACTTTCTAAACATACTTATAAGTTGGGTTTTTTTGTTGTTTGTTTGTTTCCTGAAACCTGCCAGCATCCATCTTGCATTGTTTTTTTGGCCCCAGTGCACTGAAAATAATGAAACTCTGTTGTCTTTGAAAATAGGTAGTTTTCTGTATGGAAACAAGATACAAATGAACAGCAGTAAGAAAGCAAACCAAGCAGAAATGTTCTTTGTTTCTGAGAATATTCTAATGATGACAGTATTGACTGGTTTCCTTTTAAATTAGGAATTCCTTTACCTTTAGCTCTGTAATTTAATTTAAGTGCATCCTGGAGTTTCAAGAAATGCATTCTTAATACTAATTGTTTAGCACATGAAGCTATACATATTGTAAATATGGATTTTAGAAGAAAATAAATCTGATTATGAGGCATGTCTGTTCACATGGTTAGAATTCACATTTTAAAAATCACGTTATGTTGATGACTCTATATAGGAAACAGAAAAAGAGACAATGCATTAACCTAAGCAACTCTTCTGGCTTCTACTAGCACATAATTTTCTAAAACCAGTAAGATTTTGGCTTATATATACAAACATCACAAATGTTTGCTCAAACATTTTTACTTGAATTATACATTATAAATTACCATACCAAATATTCTACTGTTGCCTATTTGACAGTGGCACAATTAATAGGTATTTAAACTATCATTCTATTTTCATTTTGCTATATCTTTCTTGTCTGCAATCTACATGAGTAATTGATAGAAAATTATCAACTTTCATTATTATCCTTTTTTTCTTAAAAAAAAACCACATTTCTCTCCCCTGATTATAGTACATTTATCAACTATCCATGTGCCTGATCTGTAGAATTCTCTCTTACATGTATTTTGTTTGGTTAAGGATCATTCCCCATGCTATGAGATACAATTCAGTATCATTTAATTTACAGAGAAAGTATTCTGTGGAGATTGGATTATGTGCTGTGAGCAAAAAAAAAGGGCATTGCTAAATTAAGCATTAAAACCAAACTGCTAATCTGATCTCATCTAGCTATGCAGAATTACAATATTTCGGTACCTACTGAAGAGTATGTTTTGACTGACCTTTAAAAATAAAGTTTTTCTCTATTTATTCTATAGGGTATTTTGTGATAAAGTACATATTTCTATCATGTTACAAATTTATCCCTGGTAGACTACAAAGCCCATACGTTCTACTAATTACAATTCATCCCAAAGGCCTTCCAGCAAGTGATACAAATAGTTGAAGGAAAATAAACTATTAAGTTTGCTTTAAGAATGTTCAAGGAAAACTGCAGAAGAACATTTTCATCTGGTATTAAAATGATTTTGATTGCATTGAGCATAAAAAAAGTTGGATTTCTTACAAAGGAGTGGCCTGAAAAGGAAGGCTAGGAGACTGGTGCAAATCTGTCTTAGCAGAAAGAAACAGTAGTCAGAGCAAATAACTTTTCTCTCCCCAGAGTGTTTCAAGTTGGATAAGAGTGTCCTCAATACACTTTTCAGCCCACATTCTGAAATGCTGATGGATGATACAAGCAAGGCAAAGCAAAAAGTCACTGAGTGAAGATTCTTCAATATGCATGATAGAGCGCTCATCACAAAACAACATACTGTATTTCAAATGAAGACTCAAAGAAGGCCCAAAGAGAAGAAAACCACAGCCAGCATTATGAACAGAATGCCAAAAATTCTGATTCATGTCTTGAAACCCAGCTGAGCAACTGGCAGGTTTTCAACATCTGGGATGCGAGATTGCAGCAGATGGGAAGCCAGAGTGCAAATAAAAAGTAAAACCAGAGAAAGGCTGTATTTTTGAAGAGGGGAGATAAAACTGTGTATTTATACAGGCAGATACCAGAATTATGCCTCAAGGATGAAAGGTACTACTCAAACTGGTACTTAAAGAACATAGGGAGCCAAAATGTCTCTCATAGCTTGTATTTCTACAACTATACTTAATCAAAGTCTAGATTTAAAGAGTTATCTCTAGGAGATATCTACAAGAGTCTAAGAAACATTAAGAAGCATTACAAGAGAAAATCATAGCAATCAAGCATAAACAAGGGAGTTTGGGAAACAGCAAGAATTAGATGTAACAAGGCATATATTATGCTAGTTGTGTCATCAGATATAGAAGAACAGGGTTGGCAAAGTTTACATCAGGGGCAAAAAATAATATAACAGTAAGGGAACAAATGAGCTTGAAAGCACAGAGCATCTGTTTCAGTCAGCTGAAAGGAGGCAGGCTGGGGGAGGCAATTGTTTGCTGCCAGTATCCTGCCATAGGAGTTTGGCAGGTTGAATGAATAGATTTTCTTTCTTTGAACATCATCGGTTTTCAGATAGAGTGATAAAACTTTGCTCAGTACCAAAGACTGACACGTGTTATATCTTTTTTCTCTAAATGGTTTTTACTGAAGTGTTTTCAATCAGAAAGAGTATTTCTCAGGTGGAATGATATTTCTTAGGGGGCAGGCAGTCATGACCAAGAAGGTAATTAATTTTCTTTCAGTAGACAGTAAAAATAATAATTCTAAAAAAAGGTAAGGTTTACTTGAGATGGTGAAAGACCAATTTATCTCAATAGATATTACATTCATGTTCACTGACACCTAAAATCAATGTGCATACAAACTGAAAGAAGGGTCTAAGCAGAGGGAAAAAAACCCAGCCCTCCCCTGCAAACACTCATAACCATGAATTTTAAAAGCATGCAACAAATTTTAACAAGATGAATGAGGGACTCCAAAAAGTCTGAAGGCAGGATGAGTTTCAGCTCAACTCAGCAACAACAGTCAATTAGGATGCACCTACCTGCATAAGTAATCAGGGTAATTTTACCCCAGACTGTCTGTAAGGAGGTAAATCAGGAAAAATTTGTGACTCATCACAAAACTGTTTTGTGCCAAATAAGAGTCATGACTTTTTCCTCTGTGCAAACAAAACGCGTTCGCAACCCATCTTCACTAGAGCTTTTACATATGACAATTATTAAAATTTCAGAATAAAATGTATTTTTCAATGTATATTATTAGTGATCTAAATAAGGTTTTACATAAATACAGGGGGTGAAACTGCACACAAAATAAAATGGGAAAAATGGCTGACATTGTTTCCTTGCATTTGTTCAACATTTTGTTATTCAGAACTTCACAGGCTGGCACCTACTACTATAAAGGAAACATTTTGATTTGGAAGGATCAAAGGAAAGGTATGAGCTCAGATTTTTTTTGTTCCTTCTTTCAAAGCCCTTTCAACTTGGGGAAAATTCATGCATTGTCACCTCAGAGCACAAGGTGATATAGGCAGCTGCTTCAAGCTGGCTACGGTGTGCAAAGTTCACTGTCATGACTGGCTGACTGCTCAACTGTCAGGGAAAAATTAACAAATACAAAAAGGGGAACATGTGACAGTTTTAGAAACACACTTTTCAATAACGCATACTGTGAACTATAGACTATTGCACGTTTCAACATGACACAAGAAAAATAGGGTGTTCAAAAGAGAATACACATTGTAACATAGAAATATACAAACTAGCTTGTGCACAGAAATCAAAACATGGTTACAAGACACCACTGCAGTCAAACCTGTCTTATAGTCTGCTTATGATCTTAGTGACCTTAAGAAATTGGTCCAAACTGATTATCAGCAATACTTTTTTTGTTACTTTTTTTAAAAAAATATTTTGAGACCACATTTTTGATACACATATATATATTCCGTGGTCAAAACAGACAGACTTAACTTTAGCGATACTAAATAAAAGTGCAAAAACGTTCAAAAATAAAACAAAATAAAAAATATGGAAGCATAAGCTAAAAATTTTCTGCATAGCTGAAATCTATTTAAAGCGAGTCCTTGGTAGGGGTTGCTGACAGGAGGAGAAAGCAGTTTTTTAAAATGTCTTCTGCATGTTTGTTTCAAATAATGCAAAAAAAGGTCATTTGTCGGCTTTTAAAGTATTTCACAGGCAGTTTACTCCTGCGTCCTTTGATACCATTGTGGTGGCAGTGCCTCCTTCCGCAAGGTAAACAGCAGTGCTGGATTTGGAGTGGACTGCTTGGTCACTGCCATTATTGTTGACCTCGCAGTGCAGCGGCTCAGTGGAGATGACCCACGTTGAAGGACGCCACCGCTTCAGTGAGTATGGAGTTTTCACACGTTTCTTGATCTTTTCTCCTGAGCCTGATTTACCATCCTGGGAGGAGTCACCTACTGAAGACAAAAAAACCAAACCAAACCAACAAAACAAAAAAACACCACCAAAAAAAAAAAAAAAAAAAAAGAGTAGAAAAAAATATTATGAGGAAGATAAGATCAGACTGGAGAGTCCAGGGTTGTTACTCATGCAAAACAACAGAAGAACAAAATCTTATCACACAAAAGGAACACTGTGTGGCAGAGGCACAACAGGTATATCAACTACAGTAGCTGCCACTAAAACAAGGGGTCAGATTCTGTTCTCTGTCTGAAATTACTTCAGTGAAATAACTTGTGTTACCTTGAATGCACACTGGCATCAAACAGCAGAACCAGCATTTGACACTTGAGGGGCTTTTGCAATCATAGTATCTTATATTACTTTTAATGGGAGGTACAAACAAATGTCGCTATTGCAGGACAGTAAAGGCTAAACTTTTAATAGCATAATTAAATCATAGGTCCCCTAATCCTACTGCACCTGGCAAAGCATTTCACCTGATGACAAAATGGTCCATTCTCTGTGAAGATCCTAAGTCAGGATTTGGGATGTTGGGTTGCAAAACTAAAAAAACAACTTCATTCGTGATAAAATTTCAGCAGTAAAAATCTGATTGTTAAAAAAACTTTCACTTTTTATAACCTTCAAACCCTTTCTTTTAACTTAATCTTCAATTAAAGAAAGTTACTGCAATAATCTTTTTTTCTTTACCTCAATAAAATTTCAAGTCAAGTCAACATGTTAAGACAAAAATTAAGGTTGCCTACTTAAAAGGAAGGCTTAAACATTCCCCTGCTGAATATTCAACTACATTTCTTAAAAGATTTGTTCTGGTTTGTTTCTGAGCTACATGATTACATTCCTACTGTAAAAAGGAGAGCCCCATTGTAACCTCTTAAATCTTTGGCCATAAAACTCTTAGACAGTTATTCAGAAGGAGTCTTTTAAAAGCAATTCCTTCTTTAACTATTTTGATTAATTTTTAATATGCACACGGTTAAGTTGATGAAGGATTGCTGTAATTGTTGGAGCTCAGATAGCAAAGTAGAGAATGCCTGACCATCCGTCTAGGCTGGGCTAATCCAGTAAAATCAGTTGCTTTAAAAGTAATGTAGTGTATAAGTAGTTATTATAATACATAATTTTAATCAATCCATCTTAGAGCCTGCTACTCTTAAGAGAATTAGGAAAACTAAGGAAAAGAAGGTATAATGTTCCCCTGAAGGAAGAAATAGGAAGCTTTTTCAATATGCTTTGCAGCTGCCAAGGAAGTTGCCTTGCAAGGAATAATGAAAGTTAGAAATTACTTCCTTCCCTAGAATTACTTCCCTAGAGTCAGAGTGGATAGGTTATAAGGGACACGCTTATTCCACGTATGTGGAAGATAGTGACCTAACATCTGCTGGAGTTTATGGAGACAAGACTTTATTGAGAGCATTGAAATTGTGCTGATAAAAATTAAATTTATGTGGGATTTAGTAAGTCTGCTTTGAGGAGGGACAGGAGACACAGAAGTACTTTCTATTCAAGCAGATACACAGAGCTATTAAGTAAAAAAGTGTCAGGGAAACTGTTCAAGTCCTGCAGGCACTTACACTGCATACTACTGCTATCCAAACTATTTGTGGCTGATAGATCCAGTGAATTAGGCCTCTGTGCTCTTCGAGTCTGGGTCTGCCCAGGATTTCTTGCTACATTCTGGATACTGACTGTAGCTGTGTCTTGTACTGGACATGGATTACTGTTGTTGTTATTGGCATTTGTTCGGCCATTATCCAGTGGTCGCTCTCTCCTCTCTACTAAGCGGTCCAGAACACCTTCATCATGGCCAACCTGTTGCTCCCGCCTCAACAAGGGTTCATGCTCATCAGGGCTTGAATTAATATTCAGCCGACCATCCTCTCCACTGAACTGGTTCTGAAGCATTTCTTGAGCCCTCTGCGCTGCCGAACTGGTTGTCTGGCCAGACGGCACTGTCCCATTGGCATATTGGGTTGTGCCAGCATGAGAGTTTATGCTGTGGTTTCTCCCAGCCACTCCGTTCATGGTAACTGTCACGACATGAGGTTCTGCAGCATTGATAGTGTTCATCTTGGCAACGCCTGTTTCCACTTGCTTCAAGTTTGATTTGTGCTTGCCACCAAATTTTAACCGTGGCTCCTTTGTTGAATTTTTGGTGTTTAGGGGGAGGCTAGTAGGCCTCTTCGGAAGGTTCTGTTGTTTGGGTAGAGGATAGACCTGAGCAGATTGGACATCCGGAATCAAACATGCTTGCCCATTGCCAGCTTGTGTGAAGTCCTGTTGTCCTGTCACCTCTACTGCAAGTTTTATTAGTGGATAAAGCAAGCTGGAACTAGTGCTGCTGAGCGGATCTGGCCCGCTAAACTGCTTAAGTGAATGTTCCATCAGATTCTCATCAGAGCTTTCTTTCAAGTTCTTATCCACTTCTTTTGGATCCAATTTATTTGTCTCCAAGTCCTCCTCTGTTAGCTGCAGACAAACAGGGGTGGGCCCACCTGGCTGCATGACATTTGTAGTATGTAGGTTTGTTTCATCGGAGTAAGGCATTTCGGATATGGTGGTCATGCCCGTGCTAGGAGTGAGGCCAGTTGTATTGGTGGTGGTAGTATTGGTGGATAAACTGGTGACACTTGTCTCAGGACTAGGGATGCGAGCTTGTGCCTGTTGCCGCTCATAATTAATGGAGTTTCTATTCTTTTCCCCTGAAGTCAATGGTGTAGTGGACATTGAATGTTCAGAAGAAATGTTCTTCACTAGGCTGTCAGTGTGGTGGATTGAATCTTCAATGTAGGAAGAGGAAGAATAATCTGGATATGGCCTTATCTTTGATACACGCCTATGATGTGACAGGTTCCTTTAAGAAAAAAATAAGTGATATTAAGATCATACATGTAAAAATCACCTCATATCATAAAGCCTCCCATTTAGGAGAGATAAATGTCTTTCTTTTCATGCATAAACTAAGGACAGATACAGTACAAACTGAGATCTTTCAGCAACTTCCTTGAAAAATCCTAGGTAGCAGAAAACTGGTTTTACTAGGATGGCAATTTTGTCATGGATGTTACTTATACAATTAACTCAGACAACAGTAATTTTCTTCTATTTGTCCAATATGCTCTTTGTCCAGTTCACTGCTAAGGTACTGCTCTAGTTGCAGAGAAGTGATGCTGAAGGAGGGTAAGAAGAACTCAACATACAAGATGGAGATAGTGATGCTGGGAAAAAGACACAAAGTCCTAAACCATGAAAAATCTGTTAACAATTTAGTTTTCATTACAACTATCAGAAACATTACTCTCCTCTCAAATCTAGATCTCTAGTGCATACTATTAATCACTAATGCCAGTTCTGCAAATTCTCACTCCCTCTGGATCACATATAAGCACCTCTCTCACTGGGGTCAGAATAACGACGACTTAAACAATGGTCCTGACATTCTTTAACTGAAAAGTTACACGTTTGAGACTCAGTGATTTCGTGAACTCATATTGCCTGCTAATTCACAGTTTTCAGAAGAAACAGAAGTTTTTAAACAGAAGTTTTATGCATCATTTAGCAACAGTCCTTAAAGATAATTCACAGTCACTTCATATCTTTGCAAGCCTGTTTGGACAGTTTGCCCAAGTTCAGTTTAAAAGGTCCCTCTGTGAGAAGTACAGTTGTTTACAAAAAAGTGCCAGAATTGTGGGGGCACACAGGAGATCTTGAGAACACAAGCGATCAGAATCATGTCATACAATAGCTATATGCACACTAGCTCACGTAACACACACCCACTTCATGGATGCAGAAACATTAAACCAGCAGTGTGCGCTAGCTTCCTTCCTGGAGTAAGCTGAGCATTGCATTGGGCATTTGCTGCTGACTAAAACCAAATGTTTTCTCTTCTTACCGCTCATTTTGCATGGCAGTTGACATTGGGTTGACCGTTGGACTAACTGATTTATTTCTCTCCCAAATCATCATGAGTTCTGCCATCCTCTCCTCAGCACACTGTGCTGTTAGTCGGGCTTCAGCATCTTGATCCCAACAGTCTTCAATTGTTTCTTTAAGGGACCTCACAGCCTGCCAGAAGACAAATAAACAAAACCCCTTTATCTTAAATTATTTTCCCTTTATATTCCCTGTTTTATGACAGCATTCTGTATGCATGAAAGCAGTCACAAGCTGTTGAGAAAGAGAAGTGGAAGACATACAATTTCATTCAAAGCTAGTTTACCCTAATAACAGCAATATGCAGGACTAATATTATCATACTTCACATACCCACCAACTAGGAAGACAATTGTTTAGAAAAAGTTACATTCACCATTGTCCATACAACCTTCAGCCAGCCCTCTCTGATGTATGCATGCTCAGCTCACTCTCCCTGCCTTAATGAAAGCTGTGTACTAAGGATTGATGATATTTTGGAAATACTGTCATTGTTATCCTCACAATTCAGCTAATGGCCCCTGCCTTGCTTCCCTGCACTGTGTGCAAATGAGGCAGCCTTGCTCATTTCCTCGTGCTTTTCTTCCTCTGTTCACTACTGTGACATCCAAATGCCTCATAAATATCAGTGAATGTCTGCGCTATGGGAGGAAATTATTGCTGCCCTTGTTTTACAGATGAAGAAACGGAAACAGACACACTTTCCTGGGATCACACCATGGGGTGAATTGTACAGTTAGGATTAGAGCTCAAGACCTCTAAAACGTGCTGCCATATGGTCAGAGACCTGGAGAGGAGACAACTGCAATTATGAGCACTGAACACTTCTGCTTCCACCACATCCATAGTGCAAAAACCAGGCAGACACGTATTGGTCCCTGCTGCCAATCTATGGCCCATGGATTGTATATGGTTTGCGAGAACAGCTCACACCGACAGCCCAGCTTTAACCTCTCCAGCACCAATGACTGTGTATAGACCCAGCTGGGCACTGAGGCATTCAGTGGCTCCTGCTGACTGCCTGTGTGCCAGAACGTCTGGCAGAGAAAGCCAGGACTAGATCTGTATGCCAGCCAAGAGCTCGCTGCCCACAGAGCAGGCTCCTGGCATCGCTTGCACCGGGGAAGTCACTGCTGCTTAGGGACGTGGCTACGGCTGCACAGGTGGGATGAGCTTCCACACAAGCATATCTCTTAGCTCCCCTCCCACAGTAGATCGAAGAAGGGCTAAGCAACTACACCCCTCTTAGCTGAGGGACATGAGTCTAAAAGCACCTTCAAGGACAATGACAGCATAGTGTACTGGATCCATTTTCTCTCCCAGAATAAAAAGGCTTCAATCAGCTGTTAGGACTTGATTTAGTCACAATTCAGACATATCTCTAAGTCAGTGGACACCCTAATCTCCTGTCTTGGCCCTTTGTAAGACTGTCCCCTACAGGTTTCATCAGCAGTAAATTTAACTAATATTTAATTTGTCTCTTTTCTAGCAGATCCTTTTGATGTTTTAAGGATCATGAAAGGAGCACAGTGATGAACATATAGATAGTTAACAAAACTGAAGTTCTAGAGCTTCCCATTTACCACAGTGATGTGTTTTCTATTAATTTCAGGTTCCAAGAGACCTATACTAAAATGCACTACTTACAAGTTCTAGCACTCATTAAAAAAAGATAGAAGGGGCAGGAAGTCTGCATTATTCTATTACTGTCCTTCAGTCCTGACCTTTGAAGTCAAGCTTGGGCCCTGCTTTAGGTTTGGCAAAGGAGACAAGAATGCTGCTAACATCCCAACTCAGTTTATAGCCGTTTAAATCTTTTATGCACATCATCTGCTCAGATTGTTGATTTCTACTGTGAAAAACAATACTGCTAATCAAGATCTGTATCATAACACTTATGTTCAAGAAGCAGACTGAAACTGCATAGGTAATGATAAATCTAAGAGTCCACATATTTGAGTGCCTTAATTATGTGACCTAAAAAATAAAACATTGCTTTTTATTTTTGTTTCTCAAATGAAAAGGGCAAATACATTTCTCTAACATTAATTTGCATGAAACTGTTATAATCCAGCATGTCAGCATAGCTTTAAATAATGGACAAAAGTCTTTTATCCCATGCACTAGATACAGAAGGTTAGGTCCAAGGTGAGATTGTCTGGAGCTTAGTTTTCTACATCATCTACCCTGCAGTGCTCATTCAGATGTTACTCTAGACTGGCATAGGGTGAAGTAGGTTGTTTGATACCCATGACAGAACTACAGATTGTTTTAGTCTTCTCTTAAAGCAATGGTGTAGATACAGCCCTAGAGCTGGACTTATCATCATTACCATTACTATTTTGAATTTTTGCAAAAGAATTAGTGGCGACACAAAGAATGTGTTAGGCAGTTTAAATATGGAGATCATTAGTAGCTCAGTGTCTAATAATGCTGGAGTCTATCAGCTTGTTAGAACATAATTAACATTTAAAATGGTAGTCTGCAAAAGAAAACAAACCTTCTGGAACTGTTTTAGTTATAACTGTCTTCAAAAACAGCTGTCAAGCTTGGTTCTTCCAACACTGCATTTGCCAACATGGCTAGTTAAAACAGTTGCTGCTTGATTTCCTGTATAGTTTGGGTGTGGATTTTTTTTCTTCCCACCCCCCCTTAAGACTGGCTGGCCAAAACTGTGTAATAAAAGAACCTCTCTATGAAGCTCTCAACTCAGTTACAACATGTTTTACAACAGTGTTAATACTGGAGGCTATGCTCCTTTCTGAAATAGGTTTCATACATATTTACAAGTACCAACATAGATGATGCCTTAGGCTCCCCATTATCTGCAGAGTAGCTACATACTTATCATCTAGCAAAGTCTGCAAAGATTGAAGGACATAATTTCAGTAAGGGAATAACTAGAAGCATCTTTTTAAATAAGAGTCAAGTATGTAATTTTCATACTGGCAATCAAGCTCGTTTAGCTTAAACAAGATACCATGTATCAGGTGGAACACAGTAACCATTTGCATTTCACTTTGCTTGTAATAAAAAACAAACAACTCCCACTAAGCTAAGGGGAGTCGTGTTACCTCACCTCTGCTGCAGATGAAAAGCAAGCACACAGACTCCTACCAGAGTTCAGCTGACTTGCTCTAACTTGTTGGTCTGCTGCAGCAAGCAAGGCTCCAAGCTATACTAACTCAAAACAACAAACAACATTACTACATTTACAGTCTTGAAAATAAAAATTGCAGATCAAATTAAGCCATATAAAATTTCAAATGTAGTTATAATAAAACGATTGCTAGAAGGTGTAGTCTCTGCAAATCCTGAGGACTACACAACTTCAGAAAAAGTTTATAACAATGTTTATGGATTTTAGTTTTGGAAGAGTATATTTACATTTTTGCCAACTATTTAGAGTGTCATTAATTTATAAGATGTCAAAAGGCAGAAAATGCCTTTATGTTTCTCATCCAGCATACAGAGAAGATGTGGGCACTTCATGCATAATACTACAGATCCTGTCTAACAATATAACAAGTTATCTTCTGTCCATCACACTTCAACATCTGATAATAATCATAGTATTTTTCTTTAAAAGACACCTAGCTTCCATGTCAATGGCTTTCTAAAAACTTAATTCCATATTTAAGAAGTCCAGACAGAAGCAGCTCCTAATCCTTGAATACTAACAAAAATTTTTAAAACAATGTATTAAAAAATTGCTTTTAGGAAGTGAGTACACCCTATAGCTGGTTAAATGATTGTTTCTTTGGAAATATTCTGTCTCACCAGACTGTTCTCCTTCCATGCTTCTGGGAATTTTGGTCTTTGCTTCTCTCTAGACACCAAGACTTGCATATCTTCAAAAGTGGGATGGTTTCCGACTTCTGTCTGGAAAGCCATCTGGTACTCTGGCACAGATTCCCCTGTCACCAAAAGAAAGAAAGAAAAAAAAATCACAGATTAAAAAAGAAAAGACGGAGCAAGGGCTTTCAGGTGATGAAAGGTAGTATGAAAGTTTCTGTTTATCAAGATGTTCTCCACTTTCCCCCAAAGTCTGACTTCATTTAAAAAAAAAAAAAAATTGACTGCAAATGAATTAAGTGTTGTTCAGCAGCCTCTCAAAGGATAGCATTTTCAAGCTTTGCTGGTTGAGTGGCACATTCAGAATGTCTTTAGAGCCTGAGGATGACACCTAATTTCTGTGAAACTTCACTGGCTGAATATATTCATGTACTTCACTTGGGAGGAAGCCCAGCAAGATTATAAGTCTCTGCACATGAAGTGCAGCTGTTTGACTACAGAGAGAATGCTGCATGTCACATCAACTCTATATGCTGTATCTTGGGAAGAAGATGGTGGTTGTGACACTTTCTAATTTGTTAAATTGTAACAGTCTATTTCCTCTTGTTTTATGTTACAGGTGTGGCTTTCCCTGAATTTTCAATGTCTCTAGCATAAATAAAAGTATGACTGACTAAAGGCTACATTAAATCCCTGTTCTTTCCCATCCATTCTTTCATGAGTCTGAAAGACACTTCAGGCACTTTATCAGTTCTAAGAACCTAGAGTACTGCCTTTGCCATCAGCCTAACTCTCAATGTTTGTAAACTCTGGATAATAATGCTCAAACTGCACATACCATGACACCTGGAAACAGCTTAAACAGATAATTTAAAGTCTTTCAGCATGAACAGTACTTCACACTCAAATACACTGTATTGACAACAATCATCGTGAACGCTAGATGGCACCGACTTAATGGCAAAAACAACTGAGAAAATTCTTTCCCTTCTTCCCTTTAAAAAGCTATGGCTAGGGAGTAGCTTTGGTTGCTGGTAGCACTTTCTGCTACTTATGTTTTTTCCAGTTCTTTTAGTTACCTGGGAAGAGGTCTGTACATCTCATAAATATCTCCCAGTAGATAAGACCTAGTGCATACATATCTACTTGTTTCAAAGCAGATTCACAGTCCCTCAAGTTCACTGCTCCTTCAAGCACTTCTGGGGCCATATAGCGGATCGTACCGACCTGGAAAAACATAAAGCTTCAAATCAGGAGTCAACTTCCAAATTCAATTTATTATGGAGATTTATATTTTTTAATATTTCCTACAGGAAAGAAAAATGGAGTTCTCTTCTAATCCATGTCCTCAGCTTATAGATTCTCATCAGGACCGTAGTCATAATAAAACCCTTCCCCTACTTGTCACTTTTTTGTATGTACCAAAACAAAATAATTTTGTGCCTTACTCAATGCTCTCATATGCAATATGATATAGCAAAAATGTTTATTTTTTCTGAAATTACTCTGTTAAACACCAAGACATGCATCATAATGGAAGAGGATGGTGCTGAACAAGGAGCTTGTTCCCTTTATTCCTGAACTGTAAGCAAGGCTCTCCCCTAGATATCTATTCATTTCCACTAGGAAATATGTTAGATCAGTGCAATCACCCATCAGTACTTGTACGACATTATTTTGTCACAGGTTTATTCTATATCCCTGCATTTTGAACAGTGGTTTCCCTGTTTCTTTGTTCAGTAAGGGGAGATCTAAAAAGAGGACCTGTGCACTAGGTATTATTACTATAGCGCTTGCTTTCTATGGGAAGGTGATTAGCACTGCGAAACACATTATTTGAATGAAATGTAAAGGTTTTCTGTAAAAGCACAAATATGACAAATCTACTGAACCATTAGGGACTTTCACTTTTTGTTTAAAATAGTCTCACTGTATTTCAGTAGCTTATATTCAGGTGTCAGTGTATTTATGCTTATACAAAAAGAAAACAACAAAAAACCCCACTCTGAATCACAGCATCATAAAAAAGAAAGCTTAAGAACTCAATTTCATCTTTCTGCCCAGAATCCATTCTAACCCACTCCTAACAGATGTTTTCCCAATCTGTTCCTTAAATTCATAAAATGATGCTAATGCTATATAGCATCCTCAGCAGTCCATTCCAGACCCTGGCTGCCTTCTACAGATAGAAAGATTTCTTTGTAACTAACCTAAATTTTCTCTCTTACAATGTAATCCCATTACCTCTTGTCCTATTGACACTGAAATCAAAGTTTATTCCTTTCTCATTGTAGAAGCTGTTTACATATTTGAAGACCTATCTCTGTCTTTACTTCTCTAAACAACCCTCATTCTTTCATCTTTTCCTTAAGGTACTCCTTTCAAGCATCCCATTATTCTGTCCCTGTTCTTTCTCAATTGGTCCATGTCTTTCTACATGCACTTACTCTCCCAGATATATCTGGAAAATTGCAGACAACACACAGAGAAATGGTTGTAGAATGCAGAATGCGGTATGCCACCATTTCAGAAAAATGAACATCAAAACCACCAAAGAATGTTTGGTCGCCAGTTGATACTTGCAGTACAAGACTGAAGGGGCCTGTACCACAACACTGCAAACAACGTGGCAACCAAACCTACCTTGCATCTTCTCACATCTCACCCAGAAAACTTCAGGCTCCAGGGTTGCTAATCTATCACCTTTACAAAATGCTAGGTTTGTTTTCCAGTGTTTTGAGAATAAAACCAATTTCTTCCTATCAAGGTTTCAGCCACTTCCCACACATATTGCAGCAATTCTCCCTTACAGGAATTGTACCACCTTAACATTTACCTTGGAACAGAAACTATTTCTCAGTGTTACTTCCATACTAATTTGTCTTCCTTTATACACTGGTTTAATCTTAATTCATACTTACCTCACTAATGGCTGCATTATCTTCCTCACCTGGGCGTACCAGCCTGTTTCCAGTTAACTTCATGGAGAGTCCAAAATCGCTAATTACACATGTTCCATCATTCTTTACCAGTACATTGCGGCTGTTCAAGTCACGATGGGATATTGCAGGTTTGTAATGGTCTATTTGGACATATGGAAGTGCTTGTTATTATTTAAGCAGGTCTACTGTTTGGCAAAATGAGAGAACCTCATTATGTCTGCTCAGCTATTATAAACAGAAAATCAACTTATCTTTTAGAAAAATAACATTTTTGCTTCTTTATAATGAGCTCCACAGTATGCTATCTATAGAAAACAGACTGGCATTCAGAGTTTTACTCTGTCTATACAATATATTAGGCTACTGCTATATACAGTTCTAGTGTTTGCCAATAAGCTTCTTTCCAAGGGATATTTCAGCATGATTTTGGCAGGGGAGACATCGTGCCCTTAAGCACAGAACTGGTGCCTCAGCCCTGACAGCCATTCCAAATGCTCTCTCTCATATCCACACTCCTGTGTCAAATACAGCACCAACTATTTATGTTATGATTGGGTCTGGCACCTATTCAGAAGGTATGTAGATGATACTATTCTAGAGAGTCTGAACATGTTCCTCTTGCAAGAGATCTGACATTTTCCAAAGACTAATCTCAGTTGTTCCTAGTTTATATGCAATTTATTTTGTTAGTAAAGCAGCCAGAATTATAGAAACAGTTTTACTGTAGAATTTACTCCATGAGTTCCTTCCTAGCATTCATAGGCCTGACAATGGCTGTCTCTTCTTTATGGTGCAAGGGTTACACATTTTCTGGCTGCTAATGGACACACCTGTCTTCATATTTCAAAATGATGAAGTTCAGATGATAGCTGCAGTTTCAATGACACATAAGAGTACTGATTCATGTATTTTCAGCCTTCCACTTTTAACAGCATCTTCGGTTGTCATTCTTTGCTAGAGTTGATGCTCACCACTTGAGATACATATTTCAGAATTTTAATCCAAACATTAGCACCTTAACATAGAATTAATGATAACAACCTTTTATTTACTGCCAAAAAGCTAATGCTTCAGTGCTATTCAGGGTCATATTCTGCAGCCTGATACATCACAGATCTCAGAATACCTGCTTTATAATCACAGTATCTCAGCTGCTGAAATGCTGGCTGAAGCACATAAGCAGAGATATAAAGATATAAATCAATATGTTCTTACATCCGGTGCTCTAATAAAACACTCAAAGTCCATCAGTGTCATTTATACACAGTGAAGACTGGGCCTGTGTCCTTAGACAAAAATCAAGAGATATGATAAATAAAACTGTAGCTAGAAGATTTAATTATTTCTTTGTGTATACAGTTCACACACAAACTAAAAATTGCTTTGGTGATTTGTGTCTGAACTGCAAAAACAAACAGAACACCCCATCTGTTTGTTCTCTGCTAGACAGACATCCAGTGCTCCAGGTCTTTGGTAATCTGTTGCCATGACACAGCAGCACTGCACAACTCTGCCTCCTCCTCTTGCCTTTCTCTGGGGCTCTGCTGGCTCTTACTCCATGTTTTCATACAAGCATCAAAGATGCAGCCCACAACATGGGATTGTTCAGAAGGAAATAACATATCAGAAGTTCTGAGTAATGTCTCTTTGCATTCATTATTTCCTACTCATCTCACTGTCACAGTGAAAAAAGAAAGGCAGGAATCTACCACCTGATAGAAACAGGAGTATCTTGAACATCTTGGAATCCCTTCCTGGCCTTACCTCCTCGAGGCAGCTCCGTGTGCAGATACGCCAAGCCCCTGGTTATAGAGTGTGCCAAACGACAGGAGCTCACCCAGTCACTTGTATGGAGACTCAAATATTTGCACAAAGAACCCTAAAAAAAAAAAATACTGGATTAAAAATCATTGTCTAGTTGAATAACTCTAAATCTTTAGGAGAGTCAGTTTTATCCATTGCTCCTGAAAGGTGTAATCCTGTAACTGCTTCTGTGTTTATTCTAAAACACAAGATTGGACCAAAGTTTCATTAACTTCTAGTGCTGCCATTTGGTTTATCTAAAGAAGTGTAAAAGAAAATTTATCACAAAATAACAGGGATTGCCTTTAGAAATAATGATATTAATTATAAAACAAAAGCAAAGCATGCACTTGATTTATTCTTCAGAAAAAGTCTTGTTGAGCAACAGAAGAAGAAAGGCAACTGCAGACATAACAGCCTGGGTTACTAAATAGTGGACTTTAAACCATCATCACTGACAGAATATTACTGAACATCTCTCACTGGCATTTCCCCTGCTATAATCTATTTATGTATTAAAAAAGACCCCAAAACAAAAATAAAGGCAATTCAGTATAGCAGCAAGTCCACATGCACTGAAGAAACAGGAAAAAAATAATGTAATGTTCCTCTTTTCCTGAAAGAGAAGTTAAATGTGAAAAATAGGGGATTTTTCAGTAATTTGTGGTGGAATCACCAAGAAAACCACAAGGAAGGGTGTCAGTTATGACACTGAAATATTCTACAAACTGAGACTGCTACCTGAAAGAAGAGGTATCCTGCAAACTATGACACCTTTGAGCAGTCTGCAGTAACTCCATACTCAGTTGAAACAAGCTAAATCCCTATGCATGAAGAACAAGTCATACAGCTGTCTTTGCATACATATTACAATATGATGTTTATTTATGACTACCAACTACCCTGTTTTCTGCCTATTTAAATATGTAATCTTAAAGATGCACCAATATGTAACATCTTATAGCCGCAACTAAAAACACTTTATTGGAAAATTACTTATGTAACATTTGGTTCAAAAAAAATCTAATATGTACCATATGAGTCCATTTGGAGTTGTCATTCAGGTATGTAACACATGCACAGTTCAGATGGAAGCACATAGATACAATAATTTAAAATGATCAAAGCATTAGACATTTTTTTAATCCAGTGCTAAAACTAAAATCAAGTTCTTGACACTCCTTAATAGAATTACAAAAATCTTACAGCTTTTCAGACTTAGCCTGTGCAGAACAAGGAACCCATAAATAGATAGCCTCCTCAGTGAAAACATAGAGCAAACAGCACTCGCACAGGTTTACATGAGCATTTTTTTCATTGTTTAAAATGCTGTTGTAAGAACTTCAAACAGATTTTGGTACAGAAAAAAAAAAAAAAAA